AAAAAAAATTAAATGAAACTGATTTTTCTTATTTTTACGAAAAAATATTAATCTTACAAAAAAATTATATATTACCTTATTTTTTGTTCAAATTGAGTTTTATAAAAATTTTTCTTCGTGTTTTTGGCGAAACTTCAAAAATAAAGAGCGTACATTCAAAAAAAGAAAATCCACCCCATTTTTGAAGAACTTCAACCCCTTTGAGGCACATGAAGGGGTTGACTTATTGTACTCAAATTTTATCAGTTTCATTTTTTCAGTGAACCTAACGAAATTTTGAGCCCATGACTCTGAATTTATGAAGTTGAAAAATAAGGACCACCCTAATATATATATATAAATAAATTCCTCAATATGAAGTATATGAAAAATGTATTAATGATCAATTAAAAAAATATATAAATTATAGATGTATTTATATTTATAATTAATAAAAATAAAAATACAATAATATATGAAAAGAATGAGAAAAAATATATTAAACAGTTGTGATTATCACTTAGAACATTTAATGTCTTGAAATATGGTTGAATTTGATATTTTAAAACATCTAATCAATTTTTTTTGTAGTGGTACTATACGGTGTATTTGTCTTTTGCCGGGTATTGTTTACGCTTGTACAAATCTAGTTTCTAATAATTTTTTATTTTCTTGTACTTCACTTGATGGAACAAAAAAAAAATTTTTATTCCTTTTATGTTTTCTTCACAATAATCATACATAGCTTTTGGAGTTAAAATATGATTTTTATTAACACATTGTAAACTATATTTGGTGACTAGCCTTTTTGTAGTACCACCTACACCATCACTAGCATTTTTTCCGTGGCACGAAGCAAAAAAATTCAATTCAGCTCCAATATCAAAATCTTCATCGTGATAAGAAATATTAATACAATTTTTAAAATTTTTTTTTGGCTAACCGTACCATCGCTTAAGTATAGATTTTTTTTTACAGAAGGGTATGTGCTGATTAAATCTTTAATAAAATATTTTTGAAACAAGTAAAATATTTCTGTAATATGTTCTAAGTGATCACTTATAATACATAAACTCTTACATTTGATTTCATCATTACTTTTATAATAATGTAGTACTATAAAATTGATAGCAAAATTATATTTAAGACCAACTAAATAAAGTACATCTATACTCAGCATACAAGTTAAAATTATTTATTTAGAATTCTACCTTTATAGAGAGCAAATGGGTAAAATAGGTAACGATATAAAAGTGATAAACATAATAAAATTAATCGTTTATCTGAAGATAAATATAAAGATTTCTATTAGTGTAATGTGATTTCTAGATTATATTGTGTATATACAAAAGTTGAAAGAGACGTTATCGTAATTAAATTGCAGTACATTCAACAAATCATTATTTAAGTGAAGAATATACCTTATATTCTTCTCATTTAAAATAATTTTGAATAATATCCTAGAAAAATCAAACAAAAATTTAATATAATATTTTTTTAAATTCGTAAATATTTTTACGAATTACAAGTATTTCATAATTTAAAACTTTTGATAAGTCATAAATAAATTTTCGTAAAATTTTTTAAATTTTTTCTTATATACTAGAAAACTTGTGTATAAAATTTCAAAAATAAAATAAAGTGGTCGCGCAACGACTTTGGATGATTTGATATGGATTTACCCAAATGAGAGATATGTAGTAAATTTTAGGAACGTTAAAACTCTGGTTTTGAACTTTAGGAAATTAAACACTTAAGTTCTCCGATTTCCATAAATCATTTAACATTACTAAGGTATTTTATTTTTTCTGTACAGTATTTTATTTTTTAATCATCTCTACTAAATATACAAGATGATTTTGTTATCATAATCCACTCAATTACTTACAGAATAATATAATTTAAACATTTTTTTTTTTTACTAACTTTAGTTACGCATTATTCTTGAATTATTAACTATTTAATACTTTTTAAGTTCATCCCTTATGCCTTATAAGGGTGTCTTCTCTGTTTTTTTAAAATGGGAACATATATATTATGTTTAAAATGTTTAAGTTTTTAATTTAATAGTAAATGGTACTTAAATTTTTAGTATAACTTAATTTTTTTATTAGATATAAAAATTTAAAGTTTTAAATTTTTGAGTTAATATACATGTATAATGCCCAAGGGATTACAAATACAGGTAGCTAATTTGTTTTTTATGATGTCGTTGTCACAGATACGGATTGTTTATTATCAATTATGACTATAAATAGATATACTTTCTGTATTGTCAGTTAGTGTATTTATAAACTCACAACAATGTAACAAACAACCATTGATAATAAAAATGTTGTGCACCTGCGAATATCTTTACCATTTACTATTAAATCAAAAACTCAAACATTTTAAACACAAAATATGTGTTCCCATTTAAAAAAACAAAGAAGACACCCTTACAAGGCATAAGGGATGAACTTAAAAAGTATTAAATAGTTAATAATTCAAGAATAATGTGTAACTAAAGTTAATAAAAAAAAAATGTTTAAATTATATTATTTTGTAAGTAATTGAGTGGGTTATGATAAAAAAATCATTCTGTATAATTAAATATAGTGCCAAAGTTGCTTATATAACATATTTTTTAATCAATAACTTCTTTAATAGTATAATATACAGGATAAATTTTTTTTTTTTTAAGAATTAGGATAAAATGATCAAATGTTTATTCTCATTTGTTTTAGCTATATTTATGTCATATTTATTTTTGAAATCATATTTATCAAATTATAATTATCAAACTATGATAATTATCATAAGAGTTAACATTTACGCTTTTAATAGACTGGTTAATATTCATTTAATTAACTGGTAAATAAATGAATATAATGTTATTTATATCTATTTTTATTTCATAATTCATTTTTATGCGCCTCGATGTATTACATTTTTCAATCAAAGGTTTTTTAATTTCCAATTTATTGTTGTTGTACTTGTAAAAAAATAAAACAGATTATATAATCTGTGTTTATAATATAGAAATTCAAAAGTTTTATAATAATAGAAATTTTAAGAATTTTATTTATAGAAATAAATAAAAAACACATTTTCTTTTTTGATTTGCCATAAATATTTTTTGTTAGAATATTTGATTTTCAATACAAAATATAAATTTTCGTCTGAATTAATATTTTTGACATATTAAGACCTTATAAATTGATCCAGGATATGGTGATTTCTTAAAAACTCAACCTTAGTCACATTATGCAATTTAATACATGTAATATATATAAATAGAATTTATTTACATTGTGTGCATTATAAAGCCAGATTCCCACGACTGGTGTACTTGCCAAGTACACCAATAATTGTATACTTGCCAAATCATCCAATTATTAACAAGTGGAGCGTTCCCATGACTGGTATACTTGACAAGTATACCAGTACTTGTACACTTGTACAAGTAATAAATAAAAGCCAAGTATACTATTCCTACGACTGGATCAAATGTCAAATAATTGTATTGGGGGTGGGACCTGAAAAATATTAAGTCGTGTATCATTTGCTTTATTTGCGTTGCAGTGTTTGGACGTTTCAGTGAGTGATTTAAAATACATTTTTTAGTATTGTTAGTTTTTATACTTTTTAGATTATTTTTTTTTTAGTTAAAATAGTTTTTTAACTTTAACTATAATTTTTAGTTTTTATTTATCTAATCAACCTTAAGTTAATTAAAATGGCTAGTGATAATGATAAAATGGCTATCTATGCTTCATACATAATTATGTGTGGAGAGTATTTAAAGTACAAACAATTAATTGAAAAAAAAATACAAAAAAAAAAAATGTAAAAATATGTTACCGTAAAATTAGATGAAGGTTTTATTAAACTTCCTTCAAACAATTGAACAGCCACCATTTCAAAATAGAGTTCTAATAGCGAAATGCATTCAATTTATATCATTAATACACTTATCTACTTTTTTTAGTAATTTGGCATTTCTAGTAAAGCCTTTTATTTATTTACTACCTATATTCATTTTTCGCTTGCATTCTTATTATGATTACTCACAGGTGTTACTTACTGATATAAACGTCAAGAGTTATGAGTTTACTTAATTTCTATGAGCAGTGTTGGTTGCAAAAACAAAAAATTGGCCGATTAATTCATTTTTATTTAATTATAGCCATCGAAATTTGAAATAAAACTATTTTCACACACATAGTTCTAATATAACTTTATAAAATAGAAAATGCTATTACTATAAAATATTTTTCAGTACTAAATTGTATTAATCTTGTTTTCGGTATCCAACAACAATAGCAATTAAAGCAAATTTGAGGAGGTTAGTTTCCCTAAAAATTAAAGAAAAAAATACGACAGAGTAAAACTAATAGTGTTTCAGCTACGCACCGTATATAATTTTTTACTTGCAAAAATGAAACAGAATTTTACAATTATAAACATTTTAGTAAAATATTAAACTATCCAATAATATTCATTTTATATTTAATATTCATAAATTAATAAGTTATATAATTAATACATTATGTAATCAACCTTAACTATTAAATTATATTTACAATTATACTATAAAATAGTTTTACTTATCTATTAAATTAAATTAACTAATTAGGCCAACATAAACCACCGCTGTACTGCACAAATATAGGTGAGTGGGGAAGAAAAAATTGTGTTACCGATAGCCACCCTAAAATCAAATATTGGATAAGTATTTGACAAGTACACAAGTGTGCACTAGTGAACTACAAGTGTAAACTTGTCAAGCCATTAATTCCTTTGACTTGTGTTACATTTACCGACAATCCGCGGGAAACTGACAAGTGACCAATAATTGTACAAGTAGTGTTCCGACGACTTGACAAGTATACACAAGTGACAAATATTTGGCAAGTACGCCAGTCGTGGGAATCCGGCTTAAGAAAGAGATTTCATTAAACTAACTTTTTGGTCAAATCGTTAATTATACATAATTTATAAGTAGCTTAAATTTATTTGACAGTAATTAAAAACCTATGTGATGTTCCACCTGTATATTTTGTACAATACAAACAATATAATAAAACACATATGTTGTTTATTATAGAGTTAATTATTCATTTAAAATGAGTAACTTAACTTAAGATTTTTCTATAGAGTTCACAGCGTACACGTTGATGCAGTCTTTGTCAATCTTGTACGAATACCTAAAAAAATGAAATACTTATTCACCAGTAAAATTTTGATACAAACAGGACATAACGAAAAACAAAAGCCGATTATTAAACATAACAGGTAAATAAAGAAAACTACATATTAAACAACGTACAATTAGAAAATAAAAAGTAATATACACGGATTAACACTGTACAAAAGGCTGTCGAAAATCTTTCCTTAAAGTTATCAGAGAAAGTGTCCTTGTTGCGACGAATTTAAAGTTTGGAGGAAATGTCTAGGAACGTCGCGATAACGACACACGGTGCCAAACATTGGCGTTTGGCGATCTTCCGTTGCATGCACTGCGCATAGAACTGGCTTAACGTGAGATCGCTCAACCAACGCGACAAGTGGTCGCTAACTGGAATGTTCGCGACCGTACGACTCTATCTCTGAACGTCATACATGCGTCCACCGTAACAATGTGTATATTCTATTTACGTTATAATGATTTAATAAAGGCAATTGAGAGAATTATTATGGTTCTTAAGTCTCTTTCAAATGTCTACAACATTTTCCTATTAAATGATGTAGGGAAGATTTATATCCTCTAATTTCTACCATTTTGAACTTTTAGTTGTAACAGAGTATAATATGACTGACGATGTATAGGTACACAGTTGTAGTATATATATACCTATAGGTATATGGAGATGGTCCGATTTAGACGGCTCTACCTGATAATTTTCCAATAAATTTTTATTTTTTTTAAATCGTTCTCCCAACTACATTTTTAATTTAGCTGTATATAATGAAATTTTTAGTATGATCTGCTTTCAGACAAAGAAGTCATTGTCATAATTGTGTTGATTATGTATACTTTACCAAAATATAATTGTAACAGGTATCGTTAGCAAAAATGATAAAAAGAAAACAGCACCCGGTATTGCTTCAAAGGTTAATTGGTACACTTGATTGTATAATGGAAATATAATGACTGGAAGTAAAGTTTCCATAATTCCACGAACAGAACTTAATTGTGCTAAAATATTATTAGTTATTCAATGAATAGTAAATAGTTACTATTTAAAATGTATTTGTAAATATTTCAAAATTACAATTTACCTAATTCTGTGTTTTCGACAAGTTTAGAAGCTATTGAAATACTAACTGAATATCCAGCGCCATGAAAAATGTCGATGAGTGGTACTTAAACATATAATAATAAACATGCATTAAACATGATATTAAAATAATGATCTGATTGTTAATATTTTTGTTATTTATTACTTGCGTAAAATTGCCAAGGACTTATGATCAAAATGTATCCAATTGTTGCAACTAAAGTAAGACTGCTACTAATTACTCCTATAATAGAATCGTGGAGTTTAAGTTTTATACTAAACATCCAAATTGCTGTACTAGTTCCTAAAATACATAAAACCAATATAATAGTGTTCAGTAAGTAAGGGAACGGGTTCCTATTGTTCTCATTGTTTGTAACAATTGACCTGTTTCCTTACTTACTGAATACTCTCTATATATATATATTGTACAACTAGCTACATTAGAAATAATTAAAATCATTAAATATCTACAGATATTTCGCCCTTAACATAATAAATTTTATTTTATAAAATACTTTCGATTTTATTTTTGAAATAAAAGAATTTAAATCTCAAGCATTATCTCTTTTACCCTACTTAAGAGTCGTTGTATCTTTGATCTACTTTTATTAATTACAATATACTCCTTAAGTGCTGAGTATCCAAACGTAAAATTAGATTTACGTATATTTTTGACTTTGCTAATAACTATGCGACATGTGAAAGATCGTTCGATAAGTTAAAACTTATTAAAAACTATTTAAGATCGACAATGGAACAAGATGGAATATCTGATTTGGCTATTTTATCTATCGAACATAAGTTGGTAAATACTTTGGATACAGACCAACTTATTGAAGACTTTACTGGGAAAAAAGTTAGAGAAATTTTAATTTGATAATATTTAAAATTATTATTAAATATAGTTGTGTTTCTTTACACATTACGTGCTAAATATTAATATGTTACTTATAATTTTTTTTATAATTTTATTTTAAAAAGTTACAGATTTATTAATAAAATTATTAGCATTAAAAATGTAGTTAATAAAATAAAATAACAAATATTTATAAAATAAATATAAAGAGGTAAAAAACACAACGTTTATTGTAATTTGAACATTTTTTTTAGGTTTAATTTATTAATATAATTTATAGTCCTATAAGGGCGCATTTTAAAATGTTGTCCCGGGCGCAATAATTAGTTGCTACGGCCCTGGTAGTTACTAATATATTTCTTTTTGAGATAATGTTTTTTTACTAAGTAAGTATATTTGCTTATTATGATAAATATAATTTTTGTCTTTGAGGGGAGACAATTCGTTGTAGTTTGAGGACTCATATTTTAGAGACTATAGTCCCTCCTTCTAGTTTTTTCCAGTTAAACCACTGGGTATACAAGAACCCATTTCGAGACGGTGGGTACAAGGCCTTACGTCATCACAATGTCGTCAACCCCAAAACCAATACTTATTATTTTATTTTAAAGTAATATTGAATACATGAGTCATTGATACTATTTGAGTTCAAATTTTAGGGATACTAAAATTATGAGATTCAATAGGTCATTTTATTCAATATTTATAAATTAAAAAATAAAACGTCATTTTTTTTATTAATATATTTTTACTATTATATTTACTATTTGATTTATCAGAAATTACTTTAAAGATTATTACCTATTAGCATAATTACCATTCTGTAGGCAGCATAGATACTATAATCTTCTTCTTGCCAACCAAACTTGTGGATTACGAGTAAATAAAGTATCGAGAACTCTCCTGTTAAGTTATCAATTTAAATTTAATGTAATTATTAATTTTTGCAGTAATTTAGATCAGACTCCAAAGTTAAGCTTTTAAATAAAAATAATTGCTTTTTTTAAATTTTTTACATTTAAAAACTATTAAAACAGTTAAATTAGGCTCTGAAAATTTAAGACTACTTTTATTATGTTAAGGTGTTTGAGGCTGTAGGCTCACTATTTATTTTTATTTAAAATTAATTTAAAGAGAAATAATGACGTATCAATTGATATATTGTGATTTAAAATTTTAAGTCATGTTGTATTAATTAAAATTAAGTATTTCATTCTAAATGTATTACTATGAGCTTTCAAGTTACTTCAGAATTTCTGAAGTTATAAAAAAAAATCAATCTTAGAAAGTTAAATATAACATATTATGATTAGTTTGTTTGATTTATGCAAATTTTAGACAAATATTGAAGAAATCAAAAAATCTGGATTTTTAGTGTTCTTGTCATCATATGGTCATCGGACAGGTTCCCTGACCAGCGTATTATTCCGTAATCTGGAGTACTTTTCCTTTTTTTAATTAATTAGTTAGTGTTCAAGTTTGTTATGCTCTACGATTTTATTTTTCAAAAAAGCTCAATTACTTTTTGCACAACCCCTGTGATGATGACTGATAATTATATTTATTTTCAATACTTGGCGCATTATATTAAAAATTTATTTTATAGTAAATTCAATAATTTTCATTTATTTACGTTTGCTTATTTGAATTTCTAACAAAATTTATTTTTGAAGCAAAACTTTTTAACATAGTTTTGGATGGGAAGTTAATAAAAAACGTTTGCACACACGGAAAAATTCAATTGTCAGATGAGAACTGCTAGCTCAATCTAATTTTATTGAGCTAAGTCTTAACAAAATAAATAAATCAATTTACATTTGAACGCCATATCAAGTTGCCTCCCAAAAGACAAGTGATTAATCGGTTAAATCAGCAAGTAAATAGAAAGTATTTGATAACACGGGTATAAAACGTCTAACGGTTTTTGACGAAGAAGTCGAAAATAATATTCAATACTTCGAATTAAACACACAGATACTTTTAAGTAATTAAAATTTATTAAATTAATATTTCTTAAAATTAAAAATGTATTTAAAATATTAAACTCAAATAGCCATAAGAAAAATACTAAAATATCCGTAAATAAAAAAAATACACCTATTTCGGTAACAATGATACCATCATTAGTGCTAATCACATACTTATAGAATAAAATGCAAAACATTACTATATTATATTGAATTTCCAAGATAGCTATCTTAATAAATCATATATTTATTTATATCATTTAATTAGTTATCGTCTTAATTTTTGAATAATAACGTTTCAACATAAAGCTGTTATTTGCAAATATTGAATACCCTATAAATGGAGTATAAAACTGCCCATTTACATTTATATTAAATATTAATGATCCACAACGATTATTGAATATCGATATAATTTCAATATTAGTAGTGTTTTTATATAAATTTGCGACATCGATTTGATTTAGCTTGCCAAAAATATAATTTTAAGATTATTTTAAATTATACATAGACCAATTATATCTATTTAAAAGTTGAATCATGTATTCTGAAAATCAACATTATGTAGATTCTAGTCATTGTAGTCAATGTTATCTATAAAATATATTGGATTTGGAATACATAATTACAGTAATCGTAACCGATAAAGATAGCTTAACTAATGTTGTCTTATGTTTGTTATTGTTTTATGATACTGGACAACAAAGTGGGGTGGGTAGTTTTGATAATTATCAAAACTATCTATGATTCAATTCTATTATAATAGGACTGAATCGAACTTATGATGTAATTTTCATTTATACGGTATATAAAAACAATTAATACTTAGATACTGTATTTTTTCCATTTTTCTTAGAATCTTTAATCTTTATTAATAATAAAATAAAGTATATCTGACCTGTAAAACTCCTTATTTGTAATTGGTAGATTACTAAGTAATCATTATAAGTAATTATATTAAGTAAGTATTCAGATTTTTAGAAATGTTTTCCTAAATATAATTAAATATATTATAGTTTATTATTTTATAATTATACAGGGTGTTCAGTAAGTCAGGAAACGGGTTTCTATTGTTCTCATTGTTTGTAACAATGAGAACAATAGAAACCCGTTTCCTGACTTACTGAACACCCTGTATANTTTCTATTGTTCTCATTGTTTGTAACAATGAGAACAATAGAAACCCGTTTCCTGACTTACTGAACACACTGTATAATTTATAAAAGTGAAATACTTAATATTATTACAAAAAAAATTAATTTTATTCATTCATTTTTAAAAATATTATGATAGTTTTAGGTAATAAAAGATTAAACAATATCGAAAATTGCCGATTTCAAGAATGTTAATTATAGGTTTTTGTCATATTTACAAAAAGAAGGGATTTTTTTCGTTTTCAATATATTTTAAAACTGCAATAAAATATCCAAAATATCGAAACAATATCGACGTGCAAAAATATTGTTAAAGACACCTACTTAATTAAAATTTGCGTTGTTAATTTTTTAGTTCTATACTTACCCATCCTAACTATTGTTAAAAAAATTGCTTTTCTAGTGAATCAAAAGTCATGCAAATATAGATTATATACGAAAATGTTGTTCTTAATTCTTGAGAGACTAATTTACTTACCTTGAAGTGGTCCCAAAATAAGAGGTGATACAATAACCATGTATACTAACATGTTTTTCTTTGGCCTTTTTTTGATTAGTACTTCCATAGTATTTATAATTATTTTAGGATTTATACTTTTCCAAAACGAAACTTTTTCATAGTCAATTGATGTATTTTTTACCAGTATCAATCCGAAAATCAGTGCTGATATATTTAAAATTATACAAACAAGAAAAATACCGTAAAACCCTATGGAAACATTTAAGAATCCAGCTACGAAATCTCCAATGGGAGAAGCTATTAGATACAATGAAATGAGTATTCCAATTCGTTGTGTTCGATTTTCTACTTCAGTGATATCAGAAATATACGAAATCACCCCGACTACAAAACAGTTTCTGGACCCAGTTATACCAGTCAAAAAACATGCGAAAATAGCAGCTACAGACGGGGGCCACCTCCAATAGTATACAGAAATGAGATTAAAAATGTCTATGACAAGCTGACCAATGATGGGTATGAACATGAGCGGTCTTCTCCGCCGCCCATGACTATCGCTCCATGGACCGGCAAAGAGAAGAAAGACTATTGGTACGGCTTCTTGAATGGTAAGTTTCCAAGTATTTATATTTGCGACTGATGTCAAAGCATATGTTTTGTTCGGACATGGTAATTCCAGGTTCGGTTGATCAGTGGCTGTTTCATCGCAGCTTTTTCTGTATATCAAATTTGTCCCTACCTGTAACTCAACCACGATTACTATATATATTGTCAGAAAGTTTGAAGAATACTGGAATCCTTGAACTACTTTTTGTAAGAGTTTAGATGTTAAATTTTAAAAATGACCGATTAGATAACTGATACTTATTTTAATACGATCATTAGATCGTCGGTATACTAATAGTAATAGTTTTGTAAATATCTTTTTTACAATAGAATTGTGTTGATTTGTAATTGTTGTACAGTGGCACAACTAGAATAACATTTTTGGAGTGCTAATTAATGAAACATTATTTTTTTATATAACCTTAAACAATTTTTTATTCAATAGTAAATAAAATGTTCTACATTTTTGATACTAAAAGTTCTAAGAGTAGTCAGTAAGATCTGTTACATAGGTACACACGGTATTAAGTTTTTACAAAGCAACTTATATTAAATTTGTATTTTTAGTATAAAAAATTTTTTCTAGCATCGTAGAATCAACTAAGTAATATGCAATTTTGGATTAATTTATCAATTTTGTAATAATCTATAATAACAATGCAGCAATAATTTTTACTTACCATTCCTGATATAGCTAATGTTATAAAATATAAAAATACCATAGGTTCTACAGTAATATTTTGGGTCCATTTTGGCCGAGAATATAAAAAAAAAATTAAATTCATAACTTTTTTAATTAGATAAATTTATTTTAATGCAAAAATGTAGTGGACTTTTCGTTTATTTTTTAAACATTTCTAATAAAAAAATTGTATTAAGTGTTTTAATTTAATGAAAAATACATATAATTAAAATTGGTCTCTAGTATAATTTATCGCATACAAACAAACCGTTATTGTGTGACTGTAAGTCACACAACTGACACGCTACTGTTAATATGAAGATCACAAGGAATATTCAATAATTATCAAGTACCGGATTACGTAATTTCCCAAACTTAAGTTATCTTCTATTTGTCGTGAAAAAAGATTGTTGAACTAGTAAAAGTTCAGAAATTATAGAGAGCTGTATTATAGATGAGCTAATAAGAGATACTGCTTTCCTAAATTATGTTATTTAAATGTGTAAATATAGGATAATTGATTTATTAGTTAACTACTAGACTTCTTCTAAAATAAAAAAAATTTAGAAACTTTTTTCGGCTTATTTAAGTAGTATTTATTTCTAATTTTTGAGTGGTTCATTTATTTTTGAACGAAAATAATTTCGTTTTTTTAAAGAATTTTCTTAATTGGGTAATTGTATATTATATGAACCAGTTAAATGCGTAAGTTAAAATTTAAAAAAAACAATTTGGTACACTTATGAAGAATAAAGGTTAGATCTATAAAATATTTAACCACTCCAAAATATGTAAGTAAATAATACTAAACAAAATTTTTGTTTAAAATTTTTATTTGTTTTAGAGGAAATTTAGTAGTCAAAGATTAAGATTAATCATTCTGCATATATACATAGAGATTTACTATTTTAATATTTTCTAAGTTAAATAAAGATGATAAATGAGATAGAAATAAAGACACTTAGTAAAAATAGTTTGCATTTAATTGTTTATCATATAAAATTCAGTTCTCTGTAATTTTTTTTTTTTTTTTTAAGTTTCAAGTTCAATCCGTAGCAAAATTTTAACTTGAATGAATTTACAAAACCATATTTAAATACTAGAAAGTATTTGAAGTTTTATTTAAATATTTTTAAATTTTGTTAATTATTTATGAAAATATCTAATTAGGTCTTACAAATTTGTATTAACGATTTTATTACATTAGGAATAATAATCTTTTAATTGTGACTAATTTTAAATTACTTTTAAATAATGTGACTACTTAATTAACAATATAAAATGACTAGGTTGTATAGTTTTGTAACGCGTATATTCCGTATATTTAATCTAATCTTAAAGTTATTTGCGTTTAATTTATTAGCATAAGGTTACTACTAATTAAGAATTGATTTAAAGAATTTTTAGGAGAATAAAACAAAATGCATTCATTAGTATAACATATTTTTTACAGCATTGTTATAATTACAAATATAACAAATTATTAGTTAACTTGTATAAAATTATAACACATTTATAACACTACATTCATAGGTACAAAAAATAAAGTAGTCTTCAGTTTCTCTATATCAAAATATTGTCTGAAGTTTATACCCTTCGTTTCAACTCTATTTTTAAGTTTATGTTATTCATGTTTAGAATAACATTTTCGTTCTTTCGAATATACAGGGTGTTCAGTAAGTCAGGAAACGGGTTTCTATTGTTCTCATTGTTTGTAACAATGAGAACAATAGAAACCCGTTTCCTGACTTACTGAACACTCTGTATATAAATAGTAATAAAACGATAAAAAAAAGTAGAGATTTTTTATCAAACGGGGTTTACAGATGTGTTATTTTTATTCTCAATAGTATTGTTACACATATCTTTGGTTTCTGTTTTTTTTTGTTTTTCAATTTCAGTATCAGTATTGAATATCGTGTTATCTTTATCAGCCTTATATGTTAACCTATAAAACATATTAAATTCACAAAAATAAGTGTGTCAAAATCAATGCAATTACGAGTAAGAGTTACGTAACAAGTTACGAAAAAGTAATATCTAATTATTTACCCGAATAATATGACAACGGGTATGGTTAATACAGCGGTTACTAAGAAGAAAGCACCTGATAGCGTTTCAAAAGTCATTTTATACACTTGATTGTACAATGGATACACAATAATAGGTGCTAAAGTTTCTAACATGCCTCGTACTGAATTTAGTTGCGCTAAAGATAAGTTTAAAAATGTTATTATAGATTTAAATTATTTTGTACTTTATTTTAGTGGTTTACCCAACTCTGTATTTTCAACAAGTTTAGAAGCCATCGAAGCACTAACAGCAAAGGCGGCGCCGTGAAAGATGTCAATGACTGGTACTAAACAATAAACGATTAAATAAATGTAACGTTAATGATGCACACTTAATTTAAGGTAATGATTTAATACATTTTATTTAAAAGTTAATTTTAAAAGAAAAATTTTCATTGTCATAAAATAGAAATTATTTTATACATTTACACTTAACTATTTCATACCTGCATATAGATGCCAAGGCTTAGTCACCACACTATAGCATATTGCAGCAATTAAATCAAATCCACTTCCAATAAATCCAATAGCAGCATCGTGCATTTTTAGTTTTACACTCATTAACCATATTGCTATGCTAGTTCCTAAAAAAATACAAGGTATATGAACACTTTTATGTATTGGCTGCATAAATAGAGTGATTAAAAAGTAAAAAAAAAGTAAAGTAAAGTACGGATCCAGCAAAGTGGAGTTGAGGCATTTATTAAATTAGTATTGATTGATATCTGACTGTGATTGTAATAACTTTATTAAACGTTTTGAAAGTATTTACAAAAATTTTTAAAAAATTAACACATTCTTCAAAAATTACATGATTTAAGATTTTAGAGGTTGTTTTTAATCATGTAGTAAATTCAATAAGCTATATTATGATTTAGCTTTAAACGATAAAGATATTTTGTTGATATGTAAAACACTTAAAAAGCAGCCACTTAAAATTAAAATTGTATGATTTTTTTATTTAATACCGGACAACATTTCCGATAGTTTTTATTTTTTTTTCTCAAAGTACATAGTGGTAGCTTTAATCTAATATATGTTTAAGGAAAATAAGTTTGTTTGAATATAATCAAAAATAATTTTTTTGATATATAATAAGCAAGTGTAAAATTGGTCACTTCTAAATTAAATATCTTCAGATATTTTGATCAAACAAAAGTTGAGAATATAGTCTACTGTGAAAAAAAATTAACTTATGATAATTGATCAAGTTTATAAACACTGATTATCGCCAAGTAAAATATATCAAGTCAATACAAATATTTCGTGTTATAATTGTTTGTTTTAATTAAAGATAGCTGTCTTTTATAACAACTATGTATTAGCTACCAAGGCTTATGATGAATTAAAATTTTATTACAGAAATTATAATTAACTAACAAAAGGTCAAAATAATCAAACTTTCTTTTTTTTTTTTTTGAAAAATCCATATTTGAAGAGGTCTTATGATATTTTATAATTGGTAGCCTTTTTAATATTTTGGATCGTGATATTGTCACATCGATATTACGATAAATCAAAAATCGATATTTTAGATAATTGCATTATTATAATTTTAGTACCGTATTATTAAATTAATTATGAAAGATTTAACCCTAAAAAGATAACTTAAGAATTATGAATGAAGAGTTTTAAGGGGAAAATGTACCTTATTTTATTACTCTTAAAGATTAAAGATTCTAAAAAAAGTATTAAAAAATAAAGTATCCACAAAAATTGATTGTTTATATGCATGTTCAATAAGTGTTTGTAATAACTGACCTGTTTCCTGACATACTGAATTCTGTATTCATTTTAGATATAATAATTATGTCATAGGTATGATAAATAAGATATAAGTGTTAATTATAAATATTTTATGGGAGGATTTTTGAAGTTTTTACTATCAATTAAATTAGACCATTAAAGGAAGAGATTTTTCCGTTAAAATTACAATGTTAAATTATTGAATATCAATTTCATACAAAATTGAATTACATAGATAAAATTTTATTTATGTGTTATAATTATAAACATTTTAATTAGGTTACAAAAAAAGGAAATAGAAGTTGATGTTGATTTTAAAATAATCCACACAATTCTCTCTAAAAATTAAATACTATCTAGTGATTCGCATCGAAGCGTATTTTATGATATGATATATTAATTTCAGTCAGATATTTTCTATACTTGTTCTACCTAAGCTGCGTCCCCATTTTTTGGGCTCAAAAGCAATGTATTATGCAGTAAGCTTATGATTAATACCTATAAGAATACCGGTCATCTTGTATGCGGCATAAAGGCCATAATCAATTTCGTTCCATCCAAACTTGTATCTTACAAATAAATAAAGTATCGAATATTCTCCTGAAACAGTATAAAATAATATAATAAATTTTAAATATAATTATATAATAAAAAATGTTATTATCAAATTAATGTTTATGATAAAAAAAAAAATATAATATTTAAACAAATGATTGAAAAAAAAACTATATTAAGATGATGTCTGAATATAATATTTGTTTGAATAAACATATTTAGTTATTAATCAACATTAAATGCTAAAAGAACTTTTAACTAAACAAATCTTTTCTTTATTTTTTATTATTAGGAATTGGGAATATTGAAAATAGACTTAATAAATAATAATAAATTATTATTATTACCTTAAAATAACTATTTAATATCGACACAAAACTTTGATTTTGTTTATGATTGGTAAATAATAAGTTATTTTATGAATTAAATGATTTCATTAATATTTTTAAAATTAACCAGTGTGTTTCTTACTATAAATTCTATGAAATACTTGATTATTACGTGATTAAAAAATTATTAACTATTTCTATGAGCCTTTGTGATTTTGTCATTTAAGCACGTCTTATAAATAACAAAAACATTTATATTATTTTATTATTTATAAAGTAAATTTTTTTTATTGTAATAAGAGGCATAATTTCACAAAATTTGTAATATGTGATCTATAAAATAAAAAGGAAATACCATTTTTTTATATTATATTGAAGATAAATATCAAACATGAATATTTTATTGTCGTTATATGATAATATCAAATTATTACGATTGGAATAATTGTTCAGTAAAGTGTATTTAATTAAAAATTAACTGTGCACATAAGCTATATTTTTATATGAAGACTATTTTTTTTATCTTTTCGTAGTAAATAGTTAAATAAAAAGCACATCGTTATGTTTAATCATATTTATAGGTATAATTTTGAAACACGTTGAATCTAGAACATAAAGCGTTTTTTAAAATATTCCTTTCAAAAATATGAAATCTAAAAAAAAAAAATATATAAGTGAACTATTCCAAGGGCGTCTGATTAATAATGTGTTGATTCGAGAAAGGTACTGCAACTATATTTATTTTTTCATAGTCGTCATTAGTAATAATTGAATTATGATTATGTAGTATTAAATAACTAGTTAGTTACTTTGTAATCTATGAGCATAGCATTCTATTTAACTATTACTATAACATTAAGAAATATTACGAAAAGGAAAAGGTCTGTCAAAATTAAAAATTATAATAAAATACTTTTCTAAGAATTAAATTTTTTCCTCTAAGAATGGATAAATTTTTGCAAAAAAATTATGTGTCAATTTAGTATAATATTACTATAGTTCAATTTTAATTGATAACAGTTAATTATATGTAAAATTTATCATGATATGAAATTATTTATGCTTAATATAAACCGTTAGCGATGAGAAATTTTCATGAAGGTTGTCTTTATCAATGACGTTATTTCAGGTCCTTGGAAACATGTTATAATAGAAAATGTGATCTAAGTTTGATTTAAATTACTGTTATTGTTTGCTTTTATCATGAAATTGATTTTTAAAATTCATTAATCATAAAAATAAAAACTGTATTAACCTACGGGGTTATCATTTGTTTTTAAATTTAAATATTTTTTCAAGAATCTTTTTTTAAGTTTAAAACGTTAAAACTTTGAAATGATTTGAATTTTTATTGTTATTCTATTTATGATTTATATTCTTTTTTATAAGCTATCTACATTTGGGTTAGAGAGAACGAAAAAACCTATACAGTCCAGTGCAATGTATTTGAACCCCAGTCCTACGCATTGAGGTACGTAGCATTCCCGTCTGAGCTGAGTACACTAACAAATGAACTTATTTAAGGTAAAATATAAAAAATATATATATTTTTTGTTATATGGTGAAAATTAAATGAGAGATACAAGAGAAACTGTCCATCTCTGTAATTCTTTAAAGAGTGTAAACATTAAGTTATTAATTCTTATCTTATTAATAACAGAACAAAAATTTACATTTAAATCTTATAAAAATGAATACATTTCAAATGGATTTTATTAATTGATACTACTGCTAATGGCCTATCGAATCAAACCATAAAATTAAAATAAATAAAAAATTGACTTAACCGTTTTTTTTTAATAATTTATAATAACACGCTTAAGTTACTTGATTAATCATAATATAATTTAATTATATTAATTTATTATAATTTATATTAATTATGTTAATTTAATAATATTTTCTAGTTAATCTACTGAATTGACCTACAAAAAAAAAAAAATCGCAAGAAGTTAATTTGTATGATAATAAAATATAAGAAAAATTTTACTCTCCTTGAATAATACAGTTAACTCAAGAGATAGTGTAGGTATGTATTAAAATGTCGTGAATCTATAAGTGAAGTTATATAGAAAATGAAATAATTATTAGGTAATAAACAAATGCCATATCATATTATATTAGATTTTCTGTGCAAATAATATACAACACTATACATTCTATTACGTCTATTAATCTATTTATTAACTAATAGCTACTTTCATTTTTTATTAACTATCGAAAATCGGTTTCTATTCCTCAATCGATCACAATTTACAAAAATTGATGCTAAATAAATAAAAGACAGACGTAAGACTTTATTTTTCCTTGACGCATTGACTATTTTTCTACCAAAACAAATTTATATAATAAAATTCATCGTTAAAAAAAAATAATATTTTATCAAAGAAAAAATATCGTAGTACTTTCAGTCATTAATATTGTTGAAATATATCCAAAGAGTCACAAAGTAGAACAATAATATGAAATTGATTGATATATAATTAACTTAATAAACGAGTTACTTGCAAAAATTGATTTTGTGCCAATCTATAGTTATAATAAGATTTTGATCATATGTCGAATTACAATTTACACTAGTCTGTCGTTAGATTAATATTATTTATACTTGATTAATTATATTACATAGACAAAATAATAATTAAAATGTTTAATTAAATTTATGTCAACATTGCGATTGAGAATAAATAAATAGATAAAATTTTATAATAATAATTCACTTGTTGCTATTATTATTTAGAATTAAAATTAATTAAAATTGATATTTTTAATTTTAGATAAACTTATAGGAAGGAGGAGGGAGGCGAGGAAGAAGACGAAGAAGATTAACTTATACTCCACAGTTCAACATCAAAAGTTTGAAATATTTAAAAAAATATTCAATAGCTAATTATACTTATCAAATTTATAGATATATACGAAGGAAAAACGAAAAAATTATTTTCAGAAAGTTTAAATAAATCAATTTGGATTGAAAACTAAAGTAAAATTTATTTATCAATAATTGTTAGTTTACACGTAATATTTTATATGATTATATGAAATACTTACAAGGAATAAATTAAAAATAATAACAATATGTTATTTTTGCATTATTTCCTTTGTTTATAATATGTCGATTATAGTCGAGTGTATATTTACATTGTGCCTATTATAACTAAACTATTATTTATTTTTACCTTGCATGGGTCCAACGGTTAGAGGCGACACAATAGTCATGTAAATTAACAATGATCTTCTAGGCCTCTTTTTTAACAACACCTTCATCGAATCAGTAATAACTTTAGGATTTAGTGTTTTCCATAATGACTGTTTTTCATATTTTACTGATGTGTCTTTTACTAGTAACAGCCCTAGTAGCAACGACGTACAATTTAGTATCATACAAAAGAGGAAAGTACCATAGAAACCTATTTTAAGATTTAAAAATCCGGCCAAACATGCACCAATAGGGGTAGCAATGAAGTACAACGACATGAGTATTCCAATTCGTTTGGTTCGGTTTTCTACTTTGGTATTATCAGCAATGTACGAAGCCACGCCGACTACGCAACAGATTCTGGATCCAGTCAACGCTGGTACTAAACACTCAAAAATAGCAGCTACAGCTGGTGGCCAGTACCAATAGTATACATTGACGATATTAAAAAAATCAGTTAATAATTGACCAGCTATAGGTATAAACATTAAAGGTCTCCTTCGCCGACCGTGATTATCACTCCATGGACCGGCGTATAGTAAAAAAATTAGTGGTACAGCATATTGAATGGTAAGTTTCCAAGTTTGAATTTTGGTGACTAGCGCTTGTGCGTAGGTTTCATGAAGACATTTTTCGCTGAGATCCGGTTGAACAGTCGCCGTTTCATCACACCCTTTCCTCAATATCAAGTTTGTTCCTACCTAAAAAATAATCAAAACAATTTTAAAATGAAAAATTCACGTGTTTAAAACATCCTTGGATTGTTTTGACATAAATGTCAATAAACAATAAAAAATTGACATAAACAAAGTATTTTCGTTTATGATGTATCATAATTGATAAGATATCTCAGTTATTATCTTCACAAATAAAATTTGTATTGTAAAATTAATAATCAATTATATATAACCCAATTAAAATTCCGATAAACAAAATCAAAACTATAAGAAACAATATTTTATGTAAAAGTAAATAACTAATAACCTTAACCTATTTAAAATTATATCTTACATTAAAGGTGTAAAGTTTCAGAAACATTCGGTGAAAATTTATCAATTCATTAGTATTAAAAATATATTTTTATTAAATTCAGTATTAAATTAATTTATAAGAAATAAATGTTAATTGTGAATATTAGTTTGAAGTTCAGAATTGTTTACAAATGAATCCAATTCGAAAATATTACGATTTACTAACTTTAGTAATACTTAAAATATAAAATAATACATTATTGTAATTGATGTCGTGCTCAAGGGGATACTAGGGAAATATAATCCTCCCGAATTAGTTTAATTTTTTATATATCTACAAAATATAATGTACGATGTATGAATAATTATTTATTTCATTATAATGAAATGTCGTTTATAGTATCCCTAGAAAAATATCAAGTTATTATCCAGCACTAAATTTCATACATATCGTTTTAAATTATCAAATTTTTAATTAAAGGATCTTAATACATATTTGGTATTTATACAATACGTATAAATGAACAATTGAAAACATGTCGTGAACTTGACTTTTATGGGTTGATAACTTCAATGAAAGATAAGTATTATGTTGTGATGGCAATTATGTTCATTGACCGTTCCGGCGCCTGTCATGTAAATACAGTTTTTTAAATCACCGTGAGAGAGGTAAAACTTTAAATTATGTAAACGCTTTTAAATAGGTAAAATAACTTAAAGATAAACGATAAATGCTCAGAGTATAAAGATAGAGGTAGAAAGATAATTATATTTTTAATCCCATTATAGGTTAAAACTATTTTCACTAAATTTTTTAATAAAAGTATTTAAAATTTAATAAATATTAGTCAAACATTTGATATATTATTAAAAAATTACGCTAAAATATGTTCAAAAAATCGCCTATTTAATAATATTTTAAAGGTGTAAAGTTTGTCTAAAGCATATAAAAATGTATGGCATATCCTATAGGGGCAGACTATGGAGTATAGTCTCATTGTGTTATAAAAAAAATTGGCTTGTATCGCTATGTATACCGTCCCAGAAAATTTCTTTTTTTTTTTTGAAAAAAAAAATGTCGTAGGCACAATGATCACTGGCTCATTGTGCTAATGAGTTGCAGCACAGTGAACTAGTCCGCTTATGTATATCACACAACAAGCCCTACGTCTAGAAATATTACTCTTAATCAAATTAAACTTCATTGTCAGAATAGTTAGTTTACATAATTTGTGGTTTATACACACTACATTAAACACTCTTCTGACTTGCTTAAAACATTACATTAGTTAATCAAACTTAATTATTACGGAGCGTTTCATTTATGTAAATCATATACTTCCATGTTAATTACAATTTTATGTATGAACGTACTTGAAACTTTTGCGCCCCAAAATAAACTTGTGTTGCAGAGGCGTATTTAAAACTCATTTTACAGCAGAGAAATTTGATTTTTTTTTTTTTTTTGGTAAGCACGCTAGAGAAATATTTTTGCTAAAAAGTTATAAGCAAAAAAAAAGTTTTTAAACCCATATTTCGTAAAAATCAGATTTGAAAAATATTGATTGTTCTGTGTTAAGGAGGGGGGATCGTACCTATCTTAAATGCCCCTGTTTTGTTACCTCCCTTTCCAGATTATATATAAATCAATAACCTCTTTTTTTTTTTACAATTATATTATTGTTAATCTATGCTAAGTCATCCAGAAGTGACAGAACGACCACCTCAATTTGTTATAAATTTTCAGGGTTTATTTTTTATGCTATATTTATATTAAAACAATTATTTTTTATGACTTTCCCATTTTTATGATTATTTCAATATAAAAATTAAAAAAAAAAACAAAATTTTAAAAAACACACAGGTTGTTTAATATTAATTTTATCGAATTGTATAAATTTTAGAATTTACGTTATTATAAATAAAAATTTACATTAAAAAATAATAACATTCTAAAAATGGAGACTTTCTATTTAAATTGAAGTTTTTGAGCTCAATTAAAACTTCCATTAAGGAGTTATTATTTTATAGTAATTTTCAAATGTAGTATCGAATCTAGTTGTATACTTTATGTTTCACTATAAAAATTTGAAGTTCGAGAAAAATATGTAAAATACAGCATTAGAAAAACAGTAAAGGTCTCTTCAAAATCAAATAATTGAACAATGGAGTTTTTTTGTTGTTTTCAAACCTTGTTTTTTAAATTGATTGCATATAGAACACGTAAATTTTTATACGATTTCTAACTTAGTAGGTCTCTTAATTCGAAAAAAATTGTTTTAAATATTTGAAATTTCGTTGAAAAATCGAAAATACACTATAAAATATCATATTTGAAAATCATTATAAAATAATAACTTCTTAACAATTTTAATTGAGCTCAAAAATAACAATTTATACACTATTTCTAGAAAGTCATTAAAGTTTAGAATTTCATATACAGTTTTTTTTTGGTGTTAACTTTCAAATATAATAAGGTCATTTCTAAAACTTAAATTAATTTTAACTTAAATTTGATAAAATTAATATTGAATAACCTGCATGTTTTATAAGAATCTGTTGTTTTTAATATTATTTGTATTGAAAAAGCCATAAAAATAAGACGGTCATAAAAAAGATATGTTTTCTAAATATAATATAAAGAATAAATCTTAAAATTAAAAAAAAAAAAATGAAATGTGTCGTGAGAACCAAAACTAAGAATATTTTAATTGTACGATAAATCAATTCAAAATATTTTACTGTGATTTATTATTAAATTTTTTCCAAATACTGGTAATTAATAAAGCAATATTATTTAATTAGGCAATAATAAAACATCTTCAACAACTTTATTTAAATTTTTGTTTGGGAGACATAATCCAGAAGTTTTATAGTTAACGATATTTATAGTATTTATATCATAGGTCCAGTTTGAGGGGCTTATCTACCAAAGCACATCAAAATATTTAAAAAATTATGCATAACGCGAAACAAACAAAAATTTTTAGGTAGGATAAAATTATAATTAGACTACAATTTTTTTTTCAAATTTCGCTTATGATATAAACAAAATAAAAATAAAATATGTTATATTTGTTTTTAAGTTTTCGGAACACATTAGAATAAATAAAAGAATATTAAAATACTTTGAATAATTTACACAAAAATCAGTCTTTAGTGTCTACGGACACGTTTTTGAAAAAATTCAAATAATTGTACGTTTTAAGGATTATGTAAGCCTATTTATTACCCAGATAAAATATTTGTTTTTTTAAGATGTTTTTCACCTGGCATTAACGACTAGTTTGTATTGAACTACAGTTACACGTACTCCAATTTTTAATTACTCCTAATTTTTAAAACATAAAATATTAAACGAGTAAATTATCTTGTAATTACAGTGTATTGAGACAGTAAAACTAAAAACGTTTAAAATAAATTACGTTCACAATGTAACCACGTAAAGTAGTGTTTCTTTAACCTATTTAAAGTGTATGTATGTAAATTCAATTATTTTTATTAAACTATTAATCAAGAATAAAAAGATATTTAAAAAATGCAATAAATATTAGGTCAGTTAGTACTTACCAAAGCTGATACAGCCAACGTTACAAAGTATAAAAATAACATTGGCTCTACTGTAACTTTATTTATCCATCTTGGCCGTACAAAACGCATTATATTCGTTTAAAGTTAGTGTTTACCAAATAATAATATTTTACTGGAGTTCACTTTGCACGGTTATTGTGATAAATGTTACATTAGAAAACGCGGTTGAAGTTATTACAACACTGTCATTGTTAATGTATCCTGAGCGTATGTATCATTTCAGCGCGACGCATACACTAACGTAGCCGCATGATGCGTCTGTACGTAACATTCAGCTCAGCGGTTATGATTAAGTAACATACCAGTCTGAGGTCGAGTTCAACTTTCTCCTCTGTCTATCGTTTTGCTAGTATCCTTCTGTCGTAAATTTTGTATTAAAATATAAACCACTTTTGTCCACATCAGACATTCACACCAGCGTATGTGGATATCCGGATACGGTTGATTAATTTTGATTGTCCCTTTGGTTCTCAAGCAAAACATGGTCCGAAAAAATCCAACTAATGAGTAACTTAATGTGTACACGTGATGTTCTGCTAGTTTAACGCGAAAATATATTTAAAATATTACATTTTTAGTTTTTGCAACACAGCAATTGTAGATCGCGTTCACATTAGTTGAATCATTAATTGAAACTATACGTAAATTATTGTTCAAAGTGAATTGCTTATTTACTTTTTTGTAATTACTGTCGAGAATAATTTACAATGGATTATTGAAATTAACGTGGCGGATAAATAATAGTTTATAAACATAAATACAGATGAAGATTTTGATGATTTCTAAGTGTTACTATCCTAAGAATTTTATTTATACTATTCAAATAATACATATTACATAAAACATTCATTTAAGTTTATTAGACACTTTTTAATGATATAAGTCTGCATAACACAAACAGATCTCAAGGACTCGGCAAATAAGATATAGACCAGGTTAATTTGATAAACCCGTTAAATTAACAATTTTAGATAGGCTATTAGCCAGCTTACAAAATACTTTATCTTTAAAGAAATCTTGTGATCATGAGTTTCTTTAGCACCAAGATGTGTTTTATAACGTAGATATAATTATAGTATTACTTAGTGTTTGATGATTTATTTTTATTAATATTGTATCATTTTTAGAATTAGATCACAACAAATGCAGTTTTGATTGTTTGAAACGTGAATAGCTTGTAATTGCAATCGATTTATATTTCAATGACAACAAATTTAAATAACCTATATTTTTAAACATCTTTTTTTATAGATTTTACAACCACGAACCGTGTAATAAGTTATTTTAAACAAACTACATCAACTCAGCGTACTAAATAATGAGTAGACACTTCCGACGTGTAATAATATCAATGACTAATGTATGATACAATTGAAAATACATTTAATTCAGATAATTGATATAATTATTAAACGCAATATAAATAAAACGAATGGAGTAGCATAGTCAAATTTTCTTGATGAGATGAGCAAATCACAGTCAGAAAACTATCCTATTCATTTATACATTGAGAGCTTTTTTTTTGCTCGTTATTTTATTTTAGAGATAAATGTTGTAGTCAGTAAGGGAGAGGCATAGCTATTATATATAAAAATCATTAGCAATTCATAACATGAAAATTTATTTATTATTATTAAATAACATAATACATGTTTACAAATAAAAAAAAAATTATAAATATTGACCTAGTAAACTTCTTAATAGATTACTACCAATTCCAGAGAATCCACTGAGTCTACTAGTAGTACCACCTACAAAATTTCTACTGTCAACATTGTCACCATCATAATTGCAACAACAATCACAATAGCAATTTCTGTCGTTGTAAGAAATAGTTACTGGAACGTGACATGCCTAAAAATATGTTTTTATCAACTATATTGAAATAAATAGGATAAGGTGGGGTAGGTTTATGAACGGGGAAAGAGGACGAATTCAAAACATTCAATATAATATTTTTAAACACATAAGAAAAATTTCCCAAGCGAAACTTCTCAAATTTTGAAAAAAGAAACCCTTATATTCAAATAATGGGATCGTTAAATAATATAATACATGTATTAAATATTAAATGTATTGTATAAATTGTATATAATGTAAAAAAAAACTTATGTATAGTATACTCTATATATAAATATTAGTTTTTTTTTATTTGAAAATTATAATTAATGTGATAAAAAGTATTTTTTTTCAATTATAAATTTTAGCTTCGATGCGAAGCGGAGAAGGTATTAATTTTACTATGATGTGTTTTTTTTTTTTTTTATGTCTGTTGCCACTTTTTCTCAGCTCTCACTGGACCGATTTCTTTCAAAAATACGTCAAAAGATCACAAATCGTATCTAGTTGAAGACATTACCCTTAAAAATTGAAAAAAATTCCCTCGTTCCCCGCAAATGGGGGAAATATCCAAAAAAATTACAAATTTAAAAATCGCTAATTTTCGAAATTTTTTCACTTTTTTTTCTTAAAACTTCCATAACTTTTTGAAAAATCAACAAATCAACATAATTTTTTTTTATACTAAAACCTTAGATATTTACCTTTCATTTGATATCATTTTTTTGAAAATCTATCACTTAACCTGCTCATTGGGGGGGATTTAAAATGGCAACTTTTTTACAAAAATTAATTTTTTCAACTTAATTTTTGAAAATGTTCCGGAAAGACTGCGTCCTTTAAACATATATCAAATTAAAGCTTATTTTATGTACTACAAAATGAAAAAAAAAAATTTGTCCCGACACTTTTTTTTCTACATTTAAACGGCTGCCGTAGTTAAAAAAACACTATTTTTGTGTTAAAATTTTCGATTTTCGATTTTAAATTTTCAACTTAAAAATGCTATAACTTTTTGAAAAATGTATATATCAGCACAAATTTTTTTTTTCTAAATACATTATAAGTACATCTTTCATTTGACATACTTTTTATTAAAATTGGACAATTTCCCCTTATATAGGGGGCGTTCAAAACTTAAAATATTGTAAAAAACATAGATCTTTTTCAACTGAACTTTTGAAAATGTTCCGGAAATACTGCGTCCTTTAAACATATATCAAATCAAAGGTTATGTTATATACTATCAAATGAAAAAAAAAAATTTGTCCCGACATCTTATCTTCTATGTGCAAATGGCTGTCGAAAATTTAAAAAAAAATGTAATGTTTGCGATAAAAATTACATTTTATCGGGATGTTTTTTGTACTTAAAACTGCCATAACTTTTTCAAAAATGAACAAATAAAAATAATATTTTTTTGTATTGAAACCTTAGATATTTCCCTTTCATTTGATATAATTTTTTTTGAAAATCTAACACTTATTCTGCTCACTGGGAGGATTTAAAATAGTAACTTTTTTACAAAAAATAACTTTTTCAACTTAATTTTTGAAAATGTTCCGGAAATACTGCGTCCTTTAAACATATATAAAATTAAAGCTTATTTTATGTACTACAAAATGAAAAAAAAAAATTTGTCCCGACGACCTATCTTCTATACGCAAATGGCTACCATATTCAAAAATATGCTATTTTTGTATGAAAATTATGGGTTTTGTATTTTATTTTAATAGAAGTTGATGTTGCTTTTGCAATTATCCATCAATTTTTTAAAATTAAACACTATCTACAGATTTGCATCGAAGCGTTTCTTATGATAGTGATTTTAATCACTGTCAGATTAAATCTAGACTGAACCCAACTATGCAATGTCTCCACTATGCCGCGACCCCACTGTGCTACCGTTTTTTTTTTTGTTTGTATTTGAAAAATAATTTTAAACGTTTTCATAAATAGAATTTTGAATCAATTGTTTCGTAAGGCGGGGATAGATGATGAACTTAAATTTATATGATTTTTCCAGACTTCTGTGAATGGTTTTGAATCTAAATTTGTAAGACAACTTCATTTGTATCTCGCCTAATACAGTGACTTTCGATTCTCTCAATCATCTTCATTGAGAACAAATATGAGTTTTCTAAAAATTGTTATTTTCGTCATCTTCTACAAATACGAGATAAAAATCGAAAAATATTGTAAAATAAAAAGAGTTATGAATTAATAATTACTAAGTAATATTTTTAGGATATTTAAGAGAAAATGTTGAAAAGGTTACCTCAGAATACTAATACCTAAAGTTTTGGTGTTCAAAAATTACATGAAAACACGAACAAATTCCCGGACGGCTTTCTCAAAATTTAAGACTTCAAATATATTGGGCATCTTAATTTATATAATTTTTTTATTTATGCATTAGGAACTTAAAAAACAAAAATATTTTAAAGAATTTGGAGAATCGCACGCTATTTCTTTTCACATACTTCTGTGTTTAAATAGCTCACAATTTATGAATTTATAACAGTTGTGTAAAAATATTTAAAGAAAAAAGTATTATCATATTTATAAAATAGACCTTTTTATTTTTAAATATATTTTTTTTTTGTTATTATAATAAAATAATTGTGATTTTAGGTTGTATTTTATTTAATGTAACTAGTATATTTGGGTTATATTTTCTCACGGAAGGGAGGTTCAAATATGAATATCATTCAGTGCATCACTGGTTAGCTCATATAATATTTGTTATTAAATTAAAAATGTGCATAAATTAAATTAATTTAAATAAAATTAACAGAAATAAAATGATACATTATGTATTTCAAATAATAAAATACAATTTAAAAAATGTACTTACTTTTATTGTTGACATTACCAAAATAATCAAAATTAGCAAAAACAGCGCAATTATTAGCCGAAACGTCATTTTTTTTGAAACTGTAATAGTATAAATGTAATTTATTCTTATTTCCTGTTAGCACTTAATTATTTATACCTTATCCATGTTTTATATTACTTATGATTTACAATTGTCTTTTAAAATGTCAATAGTATAACGAATATAAATTTCATTTTTAAATTAATGGTATTCATTTATTTGTAGAATGTTATTGTTAGAAATATCAATATTGTCGGTTTATAATTTAAGCACGGATATTCTTAAAAAAATGTTTCTAATAGTAACATTAATAGACAATATTTATAGTACCGTTTAATAAAATAACACAAGACATGTTAACTTGGGATGACGAAATCGACATAATATGAATACGTAGCGCTTATGTTATAATTCAGTTATTACGAAATTACTTTTTTTATTATCATCTTCTTATAATTTCTATTGCTTCGAGGTGGTAATAACGCTTTTCTGATTTCGCAAAATATTCATATTTTCTTGATATTTATTAGATAAAAAAGAAAAAAATAACTCTGAAAGAATTGTACTCATTACTTACCAAACAATTAATAAATATGAGTTTTTTTTTAAATCGCTTTATACGGCCCTTTGAGGGCGATTTATGGCTCATCTAAGAGGAAGATTTTTAACCCTGTATGCTCGGGGAGGGATAGTTAGTCCATCCCTTGTGAGAGGGATGGCAACTCCGCGATCACTATACTGATGACTCGTTCAGCAAACGCCCGTGACTGAATCTCGACCGGAGGCATTGCGCACTGCCGCGTTACCGATTCGGTCACACCATCTCTCTTAAATAATAATAACAATTTTAAATAATAAAAAATTGTACAATGCTTGATTATTGTAAATATGATTTTGTCATAATAATTAAAATTTAGGACATTTATTAATTCATTATCATAAATATTAACAACATATGTTCTTTAAATATCTAACGAAAAAATATACGGATATAGAATAGCTGGTTTGATTATAATCAGATCAGTTAAAATTTTCAGTCTACCATAATTATGCTAAACTGATAAATTAAGTTTTTAATAAAAATACTTTACTAGTTTGAGCGTTCTACAAGTGAAAGTTTAGGATAAGGGTGACAGACCCCAAGTAGTTGGGATTAAGGCGATGAAGAAGAAGAAAAAGAAGAGTTTGAGCGTTTTACTTGAATTTTATTGAACATGATGTTACATGAAAATCAAAAACTTTAATTTAATTTTCTCGAAATTAAAAAAAAAATCTCATATATTTCTTGCATCTAGCAACAATTGGTCTAGTTCATAATAAAAACTACATTAGTTTTATTGTTGTTACTATTATTTACGTAATCAATGTATTTGTATAAATGCCTTGCCGTATAGTGCGTATTTTATGTTGCTGATTTTTGCAAAATGCGGCGTTCTCTTTTATTTTCATTTTACATAATGGATAAATGAAAAGCTTGCTCATAATTTTTACTGAAATCGGAAAAAATACAAAAAATATAATAATAATTTAATATTACAATATAGTTTATCCATATTAATTAGTTATACATATGAAGAGTGCAGAATCTGTCAATTATTCAGGAGAGCAAAAACAAAGTTTATAAAGTTAAAATTTATATATTCAAATATATTTCTATCCTTTAAATGATCAAAAACAAAAATAGACACTTAAATGAAAGAAAAATGATAAAATTTTTCTTCGAATTGGTTTCATTACTTGATTGTATTGCTAATGGTCTATCGAATCAACCCATCAGGGTTGTTAAAAATGTTCTTTTTAAGAAAACCTGTTTTTAAAGCATAATTTGACAGTTTAAAAGGTTTTAAATTTCTCATATGACTTGTATAAATATTTAAATTGTTGGTGTTTTAATCACAGTCAAAATATGTTTTAAACGTAACAACTCTGCAAACAATTATTACTTTTTTTCTTTTGTATCTTTACATATTTATAAATTTATCATTATATTTCATTTATTATAAAGCATAACTATGTTTATAACTGCTAAAATATAATTGAATTACATACAGTGGTCCTCTAAAATTTTGTAGTGTGTTATGTGTTTATTAAACATAAGATATATGTAAACTATATTAGTTTATATGAATTTTATTACAGTTAAAATTAATTCAAAATATTAATATAAAAAAGGGGTTGTGTACAAAGTCATAGAGATAAAATTAAATAGATTTAAAAAAATGTTCTTACCTTTATAATATAATTCACTCATTAACATTGTTATTTTAAGTTTTTAAGACTTAATTTTTTTATTGATAGGGTAAACAATATTTTTATTAATCAATATTAAGTAATGACATTATTTTTTATTTTCTTACACAAATTTTGTCATGAATTGCAAAATTACTAAAATCGATTCATTTTAAGATTAATCTTATTTTAAGTTGAAAAATAACAGGTTAAACAGTTATTTATTTATATTATTGCTCGGTAGACTTACTCAAAATACTCTTACTATATTAATGGGGTAAGAGTTCGCTTTAACTTTTAATTTTACTTCAGTGTATTACTCATTATAAGGAGCTCTTATCTCACTATTAACACTGAATTTTACTTATTAATAGTTTGATAAACTTAAAAAAAATGATTATTTATAACTACCATAACTTGTATACGACAGGTTACTTTGAATAAAAAAAATTAAGAGCAATATAGGTTAATAAAACAAAATTCATATAAATTTAACATTTTTTTGATGAATTAAAAAAAAAATCGTGAGGTTTAAACCTTCAGTTAAAAAATATTAAAACTTTTTAATAATTATCATATTGAGAAACTTAAAAGTTATAAAACGTTATACGTTTCATAGTTAATTACCATTAATAAAATAATTATTATTTATTAATTTACACACAGAGATATTCAGTTCCATGTTAGCTACTAATACACCACAGAAAAAATATTAAACTACACGGGCTAATAGGGAAATAAAAGTGAGTACATTATCAAGACGCAAATCGATAAAATTGATAATCGTATTATGCTTTCAATATGTTTCGTGTAATCTATAACTAATTACTTTTATGTCTAAAATTAGACTAATACAGACTTCACGGTATATTCATAATATAGTTTTAGCATAATTATATTTATTTAAATAACTTAAAATGTTTTGTTTTGACGCGATAGATTACATTTCATCCCATTGGATCCAGTGCACTACCATTAAAAACATAATTTGCAACAGTATAGATAATAAACTTTACTGTTGAATGTTATAAAGACTGTTTAATTAATTTAATTCACATATTTTATTCATGTGATTGTGAACACTAATCACGGATTAGTCCAGCCTTTTAATTATACTTTTAATAGCCTAAATTCAACATTTTTCTATATTATAATGTCTAAAGTTTATTCTAAAAATAAAAGACATTTTCATTTATTTAAGTTTCATAATAAATTTTTATGGGTATTCGTTAATATGAATAATTGTTTTTTTGTTTTATTTACTAACTTTTATACCTTATATAATTATACAAGATAAAATATTTATTACGACCCTATAAGATACTAAGAATATTCTCACTTTATTGTATTTATATTACAATTAGGTGAGTTTATTTGCTTATAATTTTACATCTTTGGAGATTTTTTATAGAAACAATAATAGAGGCTTGAATTTAATGAAGGAATATGGAACTTTTACTTATAATTTAATAGTGTCTAGATCAATAAATGATATTTATGGATGTATGTTTTATAATTATTTTTTGTTCATTTTTAGTGAAAAATGAATTTCTAGTTAAATGGATTCATTATTTAAATTATTGTTTCAAACCATGATAAAAAAATATGATAATGTTAAATTAATTAACCATATATTTTTATGTAATTAATACTCAGATATGTTTTAATGATTTTGATTTCGGTATAAGCGTTATCATTAAGAGATACGTATTAACATTTAATACAGATTGAATAGACATGTTTATTAATCATTAGTTAAATATTTTATAATTTTCTTAAGACTTACTTATAAATATAATAATTTATATATACTTATTTATTTACTTATTCATAATAAATTGTTATAAAATTAACTAGGTCACAATTATATATAAAGCATTTATTGTTAGTTAAATTTAGTTTTAAAGCAGTCATTTTAACAACGAAGAATCAATTATCTTAGTGAAAGCTAGGTACGTACGAATTTATTATTTTAAGGGCTAAATATCTGTAGCTATTTAATGATATTAATTATTTCTAATAAAGCTAGTTGTCGTACAATATATATATATAGATGTTCAGTAAGTAAAGAAACAGGTCAGTTGTTACAAATAATAAGAACAATAAAAACTCGTTTCCTTACTTACTGAACACTCTATATATAGGTGTCTTTAAATATGTCTCTTATGTTTCTTTTTGTTTTTTCTACGTAACATTTATTATAACTTTCACATTATGTTTTATAAATGCGTGATTACACATTTTCTTCTACTTTATCTTTAGGTTTACCTAATAAATCTCTAAAATTATTACTCTTAGAAGCAACTAAATTCCAAAACTCTTAAAAACTCTAAGTAGCTCATTCGAAAAACCCGGATAATATAAAATACCTCTATACCTTAAAAATAATGTAGAAGAAGGGGTGGAATCGGGCATTTATAGAATACAATTCAAACGTTGTCATAAAATTTAAGTAGAACAAACAAAATTATAACAAAATAAGATACATAGGGGTCAGGCTTAAAGAAAACTTAAGAAATATTAAAATCAAAAAGTTGATAACTTTTTAAAATCATTAATCTAATTAGAAACGAAAATAATTACAAAGAACTTAAAGTAAGAGAGACAATATAAATGTTTTATTAAACATTCTTATTATTATAAGAATAATTAAATCATCCGTGACCTTGGCCCATTGAAAAATTTATTATTAAACTTGTGTAAATTGACAAAATATGACAATCGATTAAATAAAAATATCACTTAAAGATAACGCCACTATAAGGGTGATTTTTTGGAGGGGTGTCAGTATGTGTTTAGCGTTGATAATGGTAACAATGTATATGAAGTACATATCTGCGATTTAATAGTAATTTTTGTGACTTTGTAATCAATTTTTGTAATACATATTTTTTTTTAATAAATAAATAAATAATTTAAATATATTTTCAATTTTAAATATTAGCCAGGAGTGATTAATTTTTATTATGTATAGAATAAAATATGATTTATTTTTATGAATCAAGCTTACTGTAAGAAAAATTATTTCCAAGGATAGACTTTAGGAGTAACATTCGAAACAAATGGGAACTTATTATTATTTTAATAAAAACTGAAGAATAGATTAAATAAAACAATTACCAGTTTTCTACGTACTCTATTAGTTAAAAGTGATAGAAGTAAGTAACGTAAAAAAATTCTTATCTGTTCGTTATGATAAAAATAAAACGTCGCTAAATACTAACTAAATTTTAGCTTCGATGCGAAGCTGAGAAGGTATTGGTTTTACTATGATGTGTTTTTTTTTTTTTTTTTTTTTTTTTTTTTT